CAAAGAATGTTTGGAGCCTTGCCACCTCCTTCTGTAGCTCTCTTGCCTGCTCCGTGAGGGACACCACCAGGAGGCACCACTCACATCTCAGGCACTCCCCCACCTGGCTGTTACTGGAAGGAACCTGCAAGCCACAGTCTCCACAGCACCATACCAGGACCTGGGTGGTAGCATTGATAGTGACTGGCCCTGCCTGGATAGATACCTCACAGTACATGCAAAGGACAGTTCAAAGTAGCAGTGGCTCTGGCATTGTAATGTCCTCCAGCCATTTCTCTTGGTCTCTAAATCCGTCCCTCTTCCAAGCAGACCTTCCCTAGCAAACTCACATGTAAGCTGGCCTGTTCATTGCTCCTTGGTCCCAAGAGGTTCCTTTTTCCCTGCTTACTCTCACCAAGCTTAGAGTGAAGGATGATAAGAGAGAGTTTCCAGGCAAACTCCCTAGCAAATTCCCCCTCGCTTGGGACTCAAGTTAAGCAAGGGGCTTAAACATTGGTCTGGTGCCTGAATGTTAACTATTTACACTACACACACACACACGCACACACGCGCGCACACACACACATATATTAGCTACTCTTAATCAAAAGAGCTTAACTTAAAGGCTCCCCTTCAAAGAGGTGGGTGGTAAATTGACCTGCAAATTGACTTGGGAACTGCTTGCCCTGTTTGCTGCCCCATTCACTCATTCCCTGGTCACTTGAGGAGTCTCCTTTTATATACTGCTGGGCTTGGACCGGCTCCACCCCCTCATTAGGGCTTCTGTCAGACAGGCAGCAATCACTCAGCTAGCAGCACTCCCAGCTACTCAAAACACCCCCCAAAACACACAGAGCCCACCAAACAAACATTCAGCAAACCAAACACACAATCATATTCTGTTTCTATGACATACCTACTAGGGCTGTGCAAAATTTCATCGCCAGTTTTGTTTCAATGCTGTTTCGACCCATTTCAAGGTTGAAACAGCAAAATTGAAATGGAACAGATATAGTCAAAACAGCCTCAAAACAAAATGAGGCAAATCGAAATGTTTCGCCATTTCAACGCAGTTTCGACATTTTGCCCATAGGCTATAATGGGGAACACTGAAACAGACTATAACTGTCATTTCTGGCCTGATTTGGATGAAGCTTGCAGGAATGGTAGCCCCTTCTGAGGGCATGAAGCCTGCAAAGTTTAAATGAGATTGGTGCAGGGGTTCAGGGAAACTGCACCACTGAACCACAAAGTTTTGTAAACAAAACTTGTGTCATGTGTATGTGTTAAGCCACAGTGGGGTCAAAACTCCAGGCATGCTAGCCCCTGTGGAGGCCACAAAGCTAAGTTTCAAGGAGATAGGTGCAAGGGGTTCGGGGAAACTGATTCTTTCCTCTCCTTAGTCTGTGGTTTCGTAGGTGTTAATCCTTGCTCATTAACTCGTTATCCTAGCTAGCTACTGTGTATTGAGCTGGTCCCTGAGTGAATCAAGATTGATTGCTAACACAGTAACTAGCTAGGATAACTTGTTAATGATCAAGGAAAACCACAGACAGGAGAGGAAAGAAACAATACAGAGCTGGGAACTGCTTCTGCCCCAAGACAGACACAGTCAGTTGCACAAGCTCCCATGTCACAAGTTTTGTCTGTCAGCAGCTAGGGGTGCAGGGCCCTCAGAAGGGGCTACCGTTCCTGTAAGCCAAATCAAGCCAGATCAAGCCAGAAATGACTAAGTTATAGGCTGTTTTGTCTTTCCCCATTATATCCTATGGGCGAAACGTTGAAACAGTTTCGCCGTTTCGCCCCTGTTTCAACGGAACAGAACAGAACAGCTGTTTCAAATCAAAACAAAATTCAAAACGAAATGCTGTCCTGTCAAAATGTCAAAATGCTGGTCGAAATGGAACGCTGCCATTTCACATAGCCCTAAAACCTACCTTTTGTATTAACTGTTTTTCCAAGGCTCAGGCAGGATGAAATATAATCATGAGGACCATATCAAGCAGTAAAACATCTGCTAAGTAGATTTGCATCATAGCAAAATTACAACCTTTCATGCAAGGAATTTCTCCAGAGCCTATTAAATAATACATTTTCAGCTATTGTCAGACTGCCTCATGGAGATAATATGAAAAATTTGGAGTCCTCACCTATCTGTGACATCAGGAAGCCGCCAGGCATTGGGCAGCCAGCAGGACACATGCATGAATTTGTGCGTGCTGAGAAGGGACTGTGCTGTGGAGCCTGCTGCTGCTGTCTTGTGCCCTACAGCACCTGCTGGCCTGGGAACTTCCTCTCCAGCCACCACTGCCTCCCAACTATCCCTCTTCTGCCTGCACCAGGGCTGCACAGTGGTGTTCCTGGCTGCGTGCTTCCAGCCATTTCTGCTCTGCTTTGCTCTCCATTCAATTCAAAGCAGGGCACTATTGAAACAGAGGCCCCAAAGATTCCTGTAGTTCACCAACACCCTTCTTTCCTCGGGTTCTCCAGCACTAGGTACAACTTCCTTGTCAGCTAAATTAGCCTGCCAGGGTAGATTTCCTTTCTGTAACTGCAGTGTTTACCCTGCAGCACCCTCCCCTCAGTGCAGATGCCTGCTCACCGGCCCTCTAGTGGCAGAGCACAAGCTGTGCATAAAAATCATAGAGAAATCAGAGAAATAGGGCAGGAAGGGACCTCCGAAGGTAATCTAGTCCAACCCCCTGCCTGAGGCAGGATCATCCCTACCCAAACCACCCTATACAATCGATAATCTAAGATCTTCTTAAACTACCATAAACCCTGAAAGAACACAAGACATAACACCCTAACCTGCCATAGGTAAAGCAGGGGAACCATGGCAGCCAACATTCTGCTTCCATGAAGCTAATATAAGCTTGATAAATCCAAGGTAGTGGGCCATGACCCCTGCTACAGAGGAAGGCAATGAACCCCACAGTCCCTACCAATCTGACCATGGGGGAAAATTCCTACCTGACCCCAGATATGGTGATCAGTCTGACCCTGTGTGGAGAGGCAAGATCCTCTAGGCAGGAACCTCCAGCTTTGGGCCCAGCAAGAACACTGGCACACACCAGTCAAACTTTCTAGCCTTGGCTTAAAAATATCTGACACATAACAGAAATGGGAGGGGAAGGCATCCAGCTCAGAAGCATGGCAAATACCCATAGTAGAACATAGGCATAGCTATGCCTAGATCACCCCTGACCAGTGGCTGTCCAACCTCTTCTTGAACATCTCCAGTGATGGAGAGTCTATCCCACTGCCTTACTGTTCTAACAGTGAAGAAGTTTTTCCTGATATCCAAACTAAACTTACTTTGCTGCATATTCAAGCCATTGGCCCACATCCTACTTTCCACAGCAAGACAGAAAAGGCGTTTTGAGCCTTCTTGATGGCAATCCTTCAAGTATTTAAAGCTTACTATCATGTCCCCTCTTAAGCGCTTTTTCTACAAGCTGAACATGTCTAGCTCCTTCAGCCTCTCCTCATATGACTTGCTTCCTAAGCCTTTATCTCCCTCGCTGCCCATCTCTGCACCCTCTCTAACTTCTCCACATCCTTTATAAAATAGGGACCCCAGAACTGTGCACAGTACTCCACATGAGGCCTAACCTGTGCTGAGTGGAGAGGCATTATCACCTCCCACATCTTGTGCCTAATGCTTCTATTAATGCATTCCAAAACTGCATTTGCCTCTTGTGTGCCTATATCATGCTACAGACTCATATTGAGTAGGCCTGTGCAAATAAGAAAGTATTTGATTTGGATTAGGATTCAGATTCAGCCAATTCAGAGGATTGCGATTCGATTTGGAGATCCGGATCACTGTCCCGAATCAATTCGGCTGAATCAGCTTTGGAAGATTCAGCGCTGATTCGGAAAGATTTGGTGATTCAACCATAGATTATAATAGGGAATCACTGAAATACCTATAACTTTGTCATTTTTTGGCAGATTTCAATGAAAGCAGTAGGGATGGTAGCCCCTTCTGAGGGCACAAAGCCTGCCAGGTGTCAAAGAGATAGGTGCAGGGGTTTCTGGGAAACTGCCTCAAACTGCTGAAAGCCAAACTCATGTCACTTGTGTGTGTTAAGGCAGATTTGGATGAAAACAGCAGGGATAGTATCCTGTAACAGGGGGCCTTCCTGGTGCCAGTTAGATTTCCACCCACCTACCTGTTTCTGGGCCAGCCTACTGCCCCTCTTTTGCTCAGGCAGAAACAGCTCACAAAAGGGATAGAAAGGCTGCAGATAAAAGGTTTATATTCTGTTTCTACATCTCTCCCCCAGAGCACTGTGATTGGAAGGGGACTCAGGGAAAGATCAGTCACTGGCCAGCTACAGATGTCAGTCTTTCCCCCCTCCTTGCTCCCCCTCCCTCTTCTCAGTTTCTGTTCCCCTGAAAGACTTCCTTCTGAATCTCCTAATCTTTTTCCAACCCTTTTCCAAATCGATTCAGAGGCCCCAGATCGATTTGAAGGGTTTTTTTGGTCTCCCGATTCAATTCAGATTTGGTGAATCGGCCTCCGAATTGGGCCGAATCTCCTCTGAATTGAATAGACAACTGAAGCTTTGCACACCCCTAATATCGAGTCTGTGATCTACCAAGACTTCCAAGTCCTTCTCTATAGTGCTGCCATCCACCCAGGTATCACCCATTTTGTTTTTGTAGTTTTGATTATTCTTCCCAAGGGACTCCACTCAAAACCTCCTGCCATTCTGACATGGACCACAGATACCTTTTGGACACCAAGGCTGGCAGTCCCTTCCCAGTCATCTAAGTGGCCATTTTTGGCTGTCTACATGGCATCATCTGGGGTATTTACACACTGGTAGGAATTCTGTTCCTGGCTGCATAAGCCTGCACACATGGATGACTCCATACACACACACAACCAGCAAAAGGAACTCTGTATTGAACTCTTCACCTTCATAAGAACAAAATGTTCATATTTTTCCTTAAGAAACTGATGCCTTGTCCCCAGTCCAATTAGGTAGGCTGTGGTTTTGTGTACTTACAGGCTGTGCTAACAAAAGCTGTATAGAGCTTTCTGGGAATCAGAGAATCCAGCATGTCCCGGAAAAACTCTTTCAACAGAGCTGCCACATCATGGACACTTTGATGCTCATCCAAGAAAACATCAAGCCCCTGGTCAAACTCTTCCCGCAGCTTAATGACATAGAGGAAAAGAGAAAGGGAAAGTAATAATTTGTGCCTTCTCCCCACAAAACCACTGCAGTCATAGGTCTATCAATATGACAATGCTAGGCACTGAGTTCCCTTTAACATGAATGGGATTAGAGCACAGAGATGACAGGCTTAGTACTAGATTCTACAAGAAGAATAATCACTCTCTTTGTCATCTGTGCATTTCAGCCATAATTCCTAGTTACTCTAAGGGATGGGACATTTAAAAAAAAGACATCCAATATTGATTTTAAGACTAAAAGGGCATGTCTACACATGCTACGGCAACAGTGTCTGTGGGTGTCTACACATGACCAGCAGCTACTTCGTTATAGTGACGCAATCCTCCAGTATAACATGCCATTACGGCAAAATAGCTGCTAAAAATAACTATGTGTCATGCATACAGTACAATATAGGATGTTACTGCGCTGTGTTAGTATAAGGAAGTACTAATCACGGTTCAGTAACAACATCACCATAGCAACACATGTAGATGCTAAGCGATAGTGAAACCATCACATCTGAGATAAGTGATTTACTTTAATAATTAAGTGCCCCATTTAAAAAATGTCCACCTTCTTTCTAATGTGAATCTCATCCAGCAATTGTATTTTTTTCTCAGTCTGTCTGCCAGACATCTAGGAGAATATTCTGTTTCACATATTCTGTGTGCAAATAGCTGTTAGCACTCTGCAAATTGTTACATGTATCTATTGTGGAAGGTTCTTAGGTGAGGGTCCAAGCCCTCATAGTGTATGTGCTGACAGGGGAAGCTCTTCCTATCAGAAGGCTGTCTCTTACTATTACTTTCAATAAACTCAATTATAGCTTCTGGAATCTGACTCAGACATGTTGATCAGAGTTGAATAGAGTTCTTATGTGTCCAAGGTGGTGGTTCTCAACCTTTTCAGAATCAGAGCACCAACCACCACTTTTTGAACATGGTGGCACCCCCAGTTGCAGCCCACTGTTGTACTCAACTTACCTCAGTGTTTCTCAGTGGTGCTGCTACTGCCAGGTGAAAATATTCCACATACTTACTGCACAGCCAGACCAGGGAGAGTTATGGCACACATGCACTCCTCCTGAATTAGGGCTTTCTGATGACCCTAAAGCAGGTAGGAGAGCTGGCTTCATCTGTAGCCCTTCCTGGTCCAACCCTGCACCACACTCCCAGAAACAAAGGTGCACAGGACATGTGGAACTGTCCTACATTCCTTTGGCTTGTGAGGGGGAGTTGGCTTGTGGATTTGGGGCTGGACCAGGGAGAGCTGTATCCCAAGTCAGCTCTCTTGCCTGCTTTAGGGTGCTGCAGCCCTGCAGATGGGACAATTTTCCTGGCTGCGACCGCAATGGTACCTGCATTGTAACACCCCAGAGGAGATCTCCAATTGGCTGAAGGCTGCCCCAGGGCCAGTACCAACAATCAACTGATTGTCAGCACTGGCTGCCAGAACAGCCCCAGTTCTTCAGGCTGCCCTGTGGGAGGGATGGGGAGAAGTAGGAATCAGAGCCTCCTGGTGGAGGGAACTGAAGGGTTTACCCACTGGGGACTTCAAAACCTGCACCTGGATCATGATCCTGAGCTCCCCCCTGCACTGGCTGTAGAAAGGGTGAGACTGGGTTTTGATCCCTGATTCCACAATCGTACTTCCTGCCATGCATGTGTGGTGTGCCAGGCAACATAAGTGCTGGCATGGGGGATTAGATCCTTTGGTGCCTTTAGCTGAACATGTGGGACCCTTCCTACCCAGGACACATTAGAGAATGTGGCTAGAGCACTGTAATCCTTAAGGCTGCTCTGATTCTAACACAGGCCAAGTCAATTCCCAGGGGCTCTGGATCAATTTGGTAGCTCTACGTCTGTGTCTTCCGCAGATCCTTTTCACTGATTTCCTAAGCCCAGCCCCTGAACTATATTCTCTGCTTTTGCAAGACCATGCCTATGGTATTTTAAATTCCTGCACTCTGAACTGCATTATATCGATACTCTTCAGTCTTTGGCTTTCTTCTCTCCGGCTTTTAGTTTGGACCTTGCATCTAATCTTTAGTCTGAGCTCTATTTTGTTTTGTGCTCCTCCCTCCCTTGCACTGCCATACGCCTCCTTCCTTCTTTCTTCCTCTCAATGCCTTGGCTTTTAGTCTCCTCTCTTT